GCCAATGGCACGAGAGGCGGTCAGTCCCTCTTGATGCCCTGGTCCATTGACATGGCGACGTTTCCGGCACTAGGGACTCGAGCTTGCCTTTTCTGATCGCCCTGTCAAGGTCACTGGCAAGTCGAGAAGAGGTTTAGTACTGACTTATGCGGCTCTGCTCTCTGCGCAGTCCTTGGACTCCTGGAAGAGACGGAGTCCTAGCCTTGACTGGATGGCCAACGAAGGCTCCCCCCTTGTCCCTCCACCCTCCAGACCATGTTCATGGCGCACGTTCGTGTCGATGCGCTTTTCCTTCATTCCGTGATGCTGTTGCTGCTCCCCTTTCGTCTCGCTTGACTGCAGTTTGATTTATCTGCTGGGACAGGGCGATAGTGGCCCACCCACACATGTGTGATCTTATTCATATACTCCAAATGCTCGTCCTCCCCGATGCCAGTGGTTCATGAACTTTCCTCCTCACCCATTCTCTTTCTCTCTGCCTGTCAGTACCACCTCTACTGACGGTGGAACATCACGCAAGTCAGTTTTCCCGTATACTGGACCTTGCAGTCTGCAGCCAACCTCCACTTGTCTTCTGGCTAGGTGCACCATGCATCGTCCTTCACACTATCAGGATTTACTTGGGAGCGAGGGCCCAGATTATGGGTATGGAGACGCCGACGACCATGGCACTCCCACACAGTTTTGGTCCATCCCCGGAGAATTTCACACCATCAATCCCCTCCTTGATACCTTCCCTCTGTATGACATGAATGCTCACTGCCAAAGACCTGGCGGGTTTCAAAACTCCTGTATCTCGTACGACCAACTCGCTCAGGGCTTTAGCCACCGGCCCATGTGGGATGATGCACCCAGAGCCCTGCCACAACTGGATGGCTTGGGCCTTTTCCGTCACGAATTTGAACAAGGCCGTCACCAACGTCATCTGTCTCCCACGGACCCTTTTGGGTTTGCTCTCTCCAGCAACAGCGATTCGTCGGGGAGCGACTATGCTCTCAGTCCAGATGCAACTCGGAACTCCCTCATCGTTCCCATGACTCCCTCACCACAGGGATTCTACGCCACTCCTTTGGCGACGTCTTCAGTCGCGAGCCAGAGCTGGACCTCACAACCCCTCTTGATGTCACCCCATCCTTCCACGCCTGTCCCAGCCACCCACACTATCCCCAGCATGAGACAACTCCAGGTCACGCCGGATCCAGAACAAGACGACGAGCCGGTCGATGCCAGGGAGGCATTCCACTCCAGGATCGACTTTCCCTCGGGGATAGAGCTATCGGCACAGCTTCTTAGTCCTCCTGACTCGGGACCAGACCAACCAGTTCACGATGATGAATTTATGAAAGATGAAGAGGAGGACTCTGAGATGAATGAGACCGATACCGACTCCGACTTCCGTCCCAGAGGATCTACCACCCGCGGGCAGGGCGGGACCGCTCGTCGCCACTCTCTACGTGGACCACGGCGTCCAACAGCAGTCATTGATCCCAAAGCTCGCGTGCAGAAGTCTGCTCAGGTCGTCGACACATCACACAATGGCAGGTCACGTTCCAAGATCAAGAAGAAGGCTCTGGCAGTTAACAAAGACGAATCGGACTCGAAGCATTTTCCTTGCGCCTTCCACCACTACGGCTGCTGCGCCATGTTCGGCAACAAAAATGAGTGGAAACGACATGTCAATTCTCAACACATCCAGCTTGGTTACTACCGGTGCGATATGGGCACTTGCTCACCAAAGGCGGCGCGGACTCAGCACAGGGGGTTTAACGACTTCAATCGCAAGGACCTCTTCACCCAGCACTGTCGTCGCATGCATGCCCCCTGGAGCGGGAGCAAGAGGGCCGAGAGCAGCGTGCCAAAGAAAGATCGAGAAAACTTCGAGGCAGAGCTTGAAGTGATACGCGCTCGCTGCTGGGTTGACCGCCGCAAGGGGCCTCAAAAGTCCAAATGCGGATTTTGTGGCAAGAAGTTTGCTGACGGCAAAGAGTCTCTTGGCTGGGATGAGAGGATGGAACATGTTGGTAGACACTTTGAAAAGGACCATCGGAAGAGCGAGGACGAAGTGATTGACGACGGTCTCCAGCAGTGGGCTATCAGTGAAGGCATTGTGAGAGAAGGGAAGAATAAAGGGGAGTTCTGGCTGGTGGGTTTCGAACCCGCTCCGCCGAGTCAGCGTCCCCGGCAACAGAGGAGGAGCAGAAGGTCAAACAAGGAGGCGGAGGTCAAGCAGGAAGACGACGAAAGCCCCATGACCGACGGCAACCACGTCGACACTGGCCTCCTCCAGTACACTCTCGATGAGAAGCATGCCGACAGGGTGATGGAAAGCGAAGACAACGACGGACAGGATGAGGATGCTGAGGCCGAAGACGATGAGTAAGGTCTGATCAGTATGTAAAGAGGTGTTTGCTGCTTGAGCCAATACAGATGGCGTTGTCGAATTGGGGCATTTACGGTTGAAGGGACTTGGACAGTAAAAGGACAAAGGTGATGGACATAATGATGATACCCGGTCTGGTCTTGGGAAAAGGAGGAAAAGGCGAAAAAGTATTGATGCAATTTTGTTAGATGTTGAGACTGAAATATGGATTTTTGTTGTACGGCCTCAGCTGAATTTGTCTGCCACTTGTGATTGGTTGTAAGATGAAACACTTTGATGCCAGCCTCGTTTGAAAGTCGACGGACGTCTCTGAGCCAATTCGCGGCTGCTTTGGATCTTGATCTCGTGTTTCTGAAACCGCCTGTGTATTCTAGTCACCGCAGCTCATGTTCAACTCGTCGGGTTTTTTGAGCCTGCAGAAGAGTTTCTCTGAAGATGAGCTGCTGTGGTCGCTTTGTTTGTTTGGACGCCTTCTTTTCGTTGTAGCCGCCTTGTTGTCGTCCTTCTGTCGTCTGTTGTCTGGTATTCTTTGTCGTAACTGCGCTCTTCCATTTCTTCGATCTTGATCAGTTATTTCACTGTTTTATTTATCTATTTCTGTCAACCTTTTGTTCTGCTCGTCGGGCTTCTTGTCACCCGAAATATTCTTTGTATCTGCTTCTATTGCGGTGAAAGTCTTTCTCTCCTTCTCCCCCTTTCTAACCTTGATCGCCTTTCCTCACTCATCCTCCGTGTTCAATATAACCCTCACATATTCCTTTTCTTGACGCAGAATCCAAAAAACGAGCCAAGACGTCGACCACCCCAGCCAGCCACGTACTAGACCACCCCTCAAAGATGATATCCTTGATCAGTCTTCTCTCGTTCACCGCCGCAGTGGCTTCCACCACCCTAGCGGCGGCGTCCCCATCTAAGAACTTTCCCGCCCATCTCCACCACCAGCGCGACAACTCCAATTCCAATTCGAACGCCGCTGGACCCCCCGACCCCGTTCGCCAGCTGCTGTACATCGCCCCCGACTCCAACACGTGCGACGGCGCCACGTACCCGAACGAATGTGCCGTGTCGTCGCTGCCCGTTGTGCAGGCCCTCGTTGACGGCTTTGCCGAGTACAACGTCACCACGGCGCCCGAACAGGCCGCGCTGCTCTCCTGGATGGTCTACGAGAGCGGCCAGTTCAAGTACAACCGCAACCACTTCCCCGCGCCGGGCCGGCCGGGCCAGGGCACCCGCTCCATGATGTCCCCGACCTTTGTGCAGCAGTACGCCAACTCGATCCCGGAGCTGCAGGCCAAAGTCGCCGCCATCGCGCCTCCCCCGGCCGCAGGGACTTCCCTCACCGGCGCCCAGGCAGACCAGGTCCTCGCCCTCGTCCAGCCGGACAAGTACTCCTTCGCCGCCGCCGCGTGGTACTACGGTACCCACTGCACCGACGCCCAGAAGAAGCTGGTCCGCCAGGGCGGCCAGAAGAATTGGGAGGACGCCTTCATCACCGGATGCGTGCAGACGACCGTCGACGACGATAGGATTGCCTACTGGAAGAAGGCGTGTCAGGCCCTGGGGGTCACGGTGAAGCCGTGAATCGTGATGAAGAAAACGTGTGCAACATTGGATCTGGCGTTTCAACGGAAGGAACTCGGTATGCGAGGGATGTTTAAAAAATGATGGAGAGATAGAGCTTTTGGAGCTGGTTATTTAGAGCTGGTTATTTAGAGCTGGTTGGTTATTTGGGCTCTTCAATGATACGATCTTCTTGGTCCAAACGTAGCAGAGCAGGGCCATGACTTTCCCCGTATCAACATGTTTCTTTTTCTCTCTTTCTCTTTCTTCCGCTACCAAGTCCCTTTTGCACGCCGGTTGAGGAGGTCCAGTGTACCTTATGTATCCTGCCTAGGTAGGTCACTTTGTTTCATTGACCACTCATCTACCAGTATTCGGTTTACCCTATATCCCCTGTATGTATTACGTTTGTGGGGACCACAGGAGAACAGTTTTCCCGTGGACTATTGTAGACAGTGTAGATACATAATAGTGCAAGTCAACCTCCATACGGTACAGTGTGTATTCCACACGCCGCGTGAGGTTGTCTAGGCAAGCCAAGCCAAGCCTGGGCCAGTCCAGTCTAGTGTGGTCCATTTTGGACGAGACGGGAAGTGATGGAATGTCGATGACCAAAAATGTATTACATGTTATATATCTATTTCCATAGACATATGCAGATATATGCAGATATATGCAGAGATATACATGTATCATGTTATCATGTGTGTCGCCAATCAACCCTATCAGAGCCTTTCACCACGGTGGGAACGCCGTTCATATTCATTGTTCATTCATTCTGTCAGTCATTCGTTCGATAGCCTTGGGTGACCCAGCTCCCCAAACAGATGCCGCTTAAAAAAAGAAGGGAAAATCGCACAAGATTCTGTACCTCTTGTTCCTCCACTTCCCTTTCGGCTCTTTCGGGAATGGAGTCGGGTATATGGATATATAAAGATACTATTTTCGCAATCAGGCAACTCCATGGGAGCGGCGGGAGAGGCAGCGTTCACGCCCACGCCACGGAATGTCCATCACTCACTCACTCACTCATTCAGTTTGGAGCTGTCGTGCCGCTGCTCTACCAGTACCAGGACCAGTACCAGCACATACCGGTGGCCACCAAGAGCAGGAAGAAGAAGAACCAGCAGATGAAAGCACGTGGGTTGCCACCGAGTGACTGCTGGGATCGTGCCCGCGACCTCGTTGGCGCTCTCGTCATGCGTGTTGTCGAGAGTAACGATTCACTGTCGTACGATGTCCCGTAGTTGTAGTAGTAGGAGGGTTGGTCGTATCTCGTCGCGCGAACGGGTTGCGTATCTCCTCGAATCGTGCGAGTCGCGGTGGATGTTGGCTCTGGGTATGCGCCCGGCATGGGCATGGGATGGAACGATACCACGTGGCTCTGGAGGCGCTTTTGAGGTGGATATGGAGCCGCGCGAGAGGTGGGTAGAGGCGAGGGTGTAGTGAATGGTACATATCTGGATGGAGATGGAGGTTGAGGTGTATGCGGATAGCTGATCGTCTGGGTCGACTGGCTGAGGTTGGGGGGAGGTGTGTTCTGTGTTACTCTCGAAGAGCTGGTGATGTTGTAGACGTTGGCGTACGTGGGCAAGTCTCGACCCGGTGTCCGTGTCGGTGTTGGTGAGGGAGGAGGCGTAGGGAGCAATAGGCCTAGCGATGCTGCCGCTGACTCCGACTCCATTTCCATGTCCATCTTCGACAACAACGGCGTCAGCGATCTCTCCCGCTCCCGCTCTTGCTTTGACATCCGAATTGTCGACATCGTCCCCACCGGCGATGGAATCGGCCCAAAATTACAATCGACCATGTACTGCAGTAAGTCCGCGCGCGATGCTTTGGTGAGGCACACCTGTCTCCCCCTAGCCCAGTAGGGCTGCAGGATCCGCCAGTCTGCCGTCTGCGGGTCCGCCGCGTTGATCCACGAGCGGCGCGGCATCTGCGCATTCTGGGGCGAGAGGTATAGGGTGACGTTGCTGGCCTCGGCGTGGGCCGGACTCGGGTGGATGGGGAGGTATTTACGGCGGAGGGAAGGTTTTCGGACGCGCTTATCGAGGCCCTTGCCGTTGAATGATCTTATCTGTAGAGATTCCGCCGGGACGGACGGGTTGGACAAGTTAGCCAGTCAGTCACTCATTCATTTGTCTTTCTCGTTTGTGCATATGAGGCTGAGGGGGAGGAGGTCGTGGACGTTTGTAAGAAAAAGTAAAGAAAAGAGCCCGGGAGAGGGGGGGGGAGTACTATCAAAAACATGACCTCGTCAGTGCCAGTCCCTTCCCCGCCGCCGACGTGGAGAATCACGACAGGATGACCGAAACACCCATTTTCGATTGAGTGACACCGCTCTGCCAACGCGGGATCGATCTTGTCTTTGTCCGGGAGGTTGCATATTCTGCCGGCGACGACCTCGTGTTTTTGCATCCCTTCTCCCCTTTTTCTGCAGGTAGTTCTGTTCTGTCTGTTCATTTTCTGTCTCCCTTTTTGCTGGTGTCTGTAAAATTATGAAATGAAGTAAATCGTCCGTCTCTGTACAAGTACACTTGATATATATATATATTCGAGAATTCTACCTCGAGTTCGAGTATTTCAGTGATCGAGCTCGATTCTCCTCTCGACGGGAAACACGTAGTCATATCACAAGAAAGCAGCTAAGAGGTATTGTAAGCGCTCAAGATATCGTCGACCAGAGCCGACCAGACTCGAGGCCGTTGACAATTGCAAGGTAAAGCTGTCGAGCGGGACGAGGAGGGGTGGGGGGGGGAGGTGTCTGTGTGGGGCAATTACTATAACTCAAACCTCTTTTTCAAACGCCATCCTCATAAGGATCTAGTGAACGGCCCCCGCCGTGGCCGGCGAGGCGGATTTCTACTCGTAGGTCGTCGGGGGAGAGCAGTTCCGGACTAGATGCCGAATAGTTCCCGTACTTTTGCTTCGAACTTGTACAAGTAGGGATGAGTAGGTACCTCGTAGAAGCTTGGCCACGACCCCAGGCCATTCCCTCTCCACTCTGACGCCGCAGCACTTTTCTGCCTCGATGATGTTGCGATGCAGGCACGCAGGTCTGTTCCAGGTCGGCCTCGTTTCCAGCCCGAACCGTAGAAGAGTGGCTGGCTACGGGGACGAGATCCTTCGACGGCGAGACCGAGTCAACCGGGACGAACACAAAAAGGCCGAACTCGAATTATGCTTTTGCAATCCGTGCGCCGAGTCCAATGCCTTTGTATTTGTAGGCAACGAAAAGTCGCCGGGATTCTGGAGTACGAGGTACCCAGTAGTACCGAGTACAAGCTCCGCTGTCCTGTCCGAACAGGTGCCTATTATTGTGGACTCTCGTCATGTCCGCCGCAGGTCGGCTGCGGCCAAGTTGGTGTGCGGTGCGTGTGCCAATACTTCCTGGTACAAGGACAGATCATGTCATGTGGGCTTGGTATTCTTGCCTGCTTGCTTGCTTTGACGACCACTACCCACTCCAGTGTCGGCTGGCAGAAGCCCATTACCACCACCCACACTATCTTCTCGGCGATATAATGTCCCGCATCGGTGGAGTGCTAGGCGGCTGAACCGGACACGCAGAACGCTGTTAGCCAAGGCTTTGCTCCATGTCTTGTGATCGAACGATCCATATACAAAGCCGAGCCACAAACGCCAGGCCTGTCTGTCTGTCGACTCGGAAATCCCAGAGACCGAATGGCAGGTCGCGGCTTGAAGAGTGGCCAAGTGGTATGCGTGACGTGGAGAACTGGGCGGTGTCCTCGGCAAAAGCGAGGGAGATGGATATCAATTGAGAGTGTGGATTAATATGTTGCGGAAGGATGGTGAGGTGAGTGGGTGGGCGTAAATTGCCAGGTCTTTCTCTCCCAGGCTAGGCTAGAAGAAACAGCTCTTCACCTGTGGGCAGAATATCAAATACTGTAAAGGAGTCAATGGTAGAGATAGCCAGGAGGACCCTGACCATGAACAACCAAGGTACAGGTGAGTGGGAGGTATGCAGTCTTCAATTTGGCGCGGCAAAGCTGAATATCAAGTGCGCTGGATATAGATTCAATTCTTGTATGAACACAGTACAATATGTACGAGGCACTTCCTATGTACCAACGTATGTCCCACGTATGTAACCATCGTTGAAGGCCAGAAATGGCTAGCCTTGTGGTTACTGCATTGTGAAAGGCCACTTCCAGCCTTCGTTCGGTCATTACCATACTTCATGCCCTCAAATCAATTGCCTCGGAGGCATCGTCTCTTCTCCCTTGACTCCATGCACGAGGCTTCCCCTCTTGTTCTCATAGTTTCGCAAGGTGCCCGTCCCCTCCACAGTTTCTTGGACCACAGAATCCTCAAAGACGTCGATGTGGGTGCTCGCAAACTTTCGTGCACTGACACCCCTCTCGAACAAGAGATCCAGTTCTGCAAAACTGCGACCCGCCGGCTCTGGCACACGGAAGTATGTGTAGATGATGCAGCAGAAGCAGATCCCCGCCCAGAAGAAGCCTGCGTAGTTGCTCCAGTTCCATTCACCGGGGTTGAGCATGTACGGTGTCAAGACGGAACAGATAATTCCGACGACGTTGTACAGGTTGCGCCCCAGTACGACAGTCTTGATCTGCAGACGGCGGGTGGAGAGCTCCGCAACCAGAGAATAGCAAACCGTGCCCACCGTAAGTTGGTAGCAGAGTGCCCAGACCAGCATGATCGATCCAGTAGCCAACGCCGCCGAGTCTCGGTGGGAATCAGGAACCAGCCCCAAAAATCCCATGATGAGCAGCATGGAGAACAATCCACAGAGTCCGTAGAGGTAGAGGGATCGTCGTCCGATGCCCCGACTCATCAAGAACCAGGCACCGAAAACTCCTCCCATGTTGATTCCGTACTGTCCGAGGGCAAAGTCATAGGATTTGCTCGTGGCCAGACCCGCTTGTTCAAGAAAATATGTCGAGTATCCAGAGAAAGAATTGCCGGACAGGTTCTGGATCGCCCAGACCATGCACACAATCTCGGTCCGTCGCAAGTCGGTGCCTTTGAAGCAATCCCAGTACGTGGCACCCGCCGTGATCTTTTCTTCCAGAGCGGTTGTATGGACCATCATCGCAATGGTTTCATCGGCATCGAAATCGGTTTCGCGGTTGAGTGAAGTCAATCGAAGAAGTGCTCTTTTGGCGTCGTCGAGTCGCCCCTTGCGCACAAGCCACCATGGCGATTCTGGTGCGAGGAAGATTCCAATTATCAGTGGCGCCGGCCACACCCACTGGATCGCATAAGGTATGCGGTATGACCATTGATCGTCGCGAGGGAGCATCGACTTAATGACCCCAATCCCGATCACCTGTCCCAGTCCCCAGCAGAAGTTTACATAGGTCGTAAGATACCCTCGGAGCGCCACTGGACACACCTCGGATGCATAGGTGATGGCTAGGCACGTACAGAGTTAGTAGGTGTGTTTTCGAGACATAGGAGGTTCGATACGTAGTGGTGTGGATATCGGCGGGGGGGGCTCAATGAGTTCCCAATAACACCTCATACGTTGCGGCCGGAAAAACTTACTTGCGACTTGGAACATGCCCCAAGGTATTCCACAGAGGATCTCTGCGACCTGGAGAGCGACCACAGTCTGTGCTGTGAAGAAGACCGCCGTGTAAATGGCAACGAGGGCCAGGCAAGCGATGAGGGTGTATCGGTAGCCAAAACGCTCGCAAACCAAGCCGTTGATCATAAGGCCAATTATTTCGCCGACATTGGCACCGTTGCTAAGACCTGCCTGCCACGGAGCCGGGATTTGATAACTTCCGTCGGGCAGTTGTTCGCCGTACTTCTTCTGGAACTGAGGGAACGCGTCTGTCAAGACAACGGTCAGAAAGCAAAGGAAAGTCGGGAATCTTGGGTTTCCAGGCACTAGATCACTCACAGAAATTGCTCAACAGACACACATCGTATCCCTCCATGGCAATGCAGGTCGAGATCAAGATGCTCCACCCAACGGCTTTCGGATAGAGCTTGATGCCTTGCCACAAGGTCATCTTGTGCTCCTTTTCCGTCGCTCTCTGAGCATTGTGGATGACATCGTCAAAGGTTTTCTGGTGCTCTATGTCATCCCCTCGGACCTGCTCCGGGGCGCCGTGGGAAGGTTGAGAGGAGATGACATTCTCCTCGACCGCCTTTTCCGACATGATTGAAAAAACGCGCCTCAGCGTGTATTTTACCTTGCGCTGTGATCGCGTCAATCGAACAAAGTTAAAGAGGTTGTGGAGTTGAGTGTGGTTAGAGATGGAGGTGAATGGACAGTGACTGGCTGGCAGCTCCGCTCATAAAGTCCCAGACAATCCTGCTGACCAGATATGGTGAACAAGGACAGAGTAAAAGGCCAACAATAAGCAGGTGAAAAAAAAAAATTATGAGTTGACCCAGTATAACTAGGACAACTCTCCCAACCTCCCCACTGATCAGCCGACCAGCTTCTCTTTATATCCCCTGGTCCAGGTCTTCTGCGGGGGGGATGGTGTGTTAACGAAGATCCCACGTTACACTGCTTTCTGGGGTAAAGAAAAAAGGGCAATTCCTCTGGTCTGGGGGAATCTTGCGGCACGCGCGCGTCGACGCAGGATCAGGTTTTCTGTTCGCCCTTGCCAGATTCGTGAGGAGGTAGAAGCAAGTGGGAATTTTTGCTGATCTGGACATTGGCGTGAGAAAATCTGGTCAGAGGACCAGTCACGCGGGTCCCTGAGGATCCCCCTGGGAAATCCTGGGATGATGAGTTCTGAGTCCTGGGGAACTCCCGAGATGCATATCCACCGCACCGCACCGCAATCAGATCAGGTATTGTCTTTTCCTCTCTCTTGCTGGTCACTGGTTGGCCCGGTCATTGTCACGACAAATGGGTTCGCCATCCGCCGCCTGTGGTTCCACTGAGCTCTCAAGCTGTCTTCCATCCTTCTCCATCTACCTGTC